CTTTTAGTATGGTTTCCACGCAATCCTTTATAAATGAGACCCCAGTTCTTTTCAAAATTAGCTCTGCCAAATTTAAATACCTTGGTATTTGGATTACTCACAGTCACAAAGATACAGATACAGATACAGCAAACTTTTTGCCTCTCCTGGTGAACCTTAAGAAGGACATCGCTACATGGGCATCCCTGCCTCTATCCCTGGGGGGTAGAATCAACGTGATCAAAATGACAATATTGCCCAAATTACTTTATCTATTTCAGAGCGTGCCAGTGTTCCTCACCAGGACTTTCTTTACAAATTTAAATAGTGAATTGTCGTCCTTTATTTGGAATAAAAAACATCCACGAAGACGACATTTAGAGCTGGGATACCAGCTCTAAAAAGAAACTTTTTTTGAAAATTTACTTCCATCCCAAAACTTCACCTTTTTAATTTTGATGCCTTTCCTTTTAAACAAAACCCTGAATTATTACTTTTTTTATTTACATTTTCTCTGTCATCCCAGCCCCAAAACCTATCATTAGACCAGCCTTAATGTACCCTCTCTGTTTATTCATTGTTTGATCTTCAGCCCTCCATTCCCCTCTTTCCCACTTTTGCATTTTTTCCATATCAGGCACAGAACATAGCAGACACAGAGTGTACCCACCTGTGAGTGCATGCACCCACCTGCCTGTTGTATTACAACTATGCACCACACAGTACATCTCAGACACCCTAAGGATGCTGTCAGGGTCGCCTGATACATTCATGCAACATAACACCAGATTAAATGAGAACCATGTACTCTGGATTTGACCTAATCTCAAGATGAGTGAGTCTCTGTCAACTTTTGTACCAAAACACGTTCAGCTGTTGAGCCTCAAGAAAATCACTGAGATAAAATTTCACAAAACACCCTTGAACAGTAATGGAAATACAACACTGAATTTGAACCAAACCATGTCCTGTGATTTATTCTGTTGTTAAAAGTAAATAAAACATTTACTTTGTCAAAAAACTCCTTGATTGATTTGACTACGTTGGTCAAAGTGACTCAACAATGTGAGAGACTGAGGTAATGAAAGAAATGATCTTATTTCTAAAAGTGTTCGTCATTAAAGAGCAAAAAACAAGTAGTACTGATGCACAGTACTACTTGTTTTTTGCTTTTTAATTGTTGAATGTTATTTAAAAGACTTGAACGTTTGTGTTGGTGGTCCAGGTTTCAAGTAATTATGGAGGTGGCTGAGGACATGGCGATCGACATCCCCCACATCTTTCTGTACCTGGCTGAGCTGATCACTCCTATGCTGCATGAAGGAGGCATCCCCATGGGAGAACTTTTCAAGTTAGCTCCAGGACACATCTGCATTTAAAGACAAAATTATTGTTGTTTTTAATTATTTACTTTGATTTGTAATTTCCACTGATCTCTTTGGTTTCAGGGAGATTTCAAAACCTCTGATTCCTTTGGACAAAGCTGGAGTCCTGCTGGTCCACATCCTTACATTACTCTGCAAAGAAATGGTGAGTTTATCATTGTATGTAAAAGTTTTAACCCTGTTTAAAACAAACATCTTTATCACTGTTTATTGATTGATTTAAGGATCTTTATATATTTGTGTCAGTGAGGTGTACTATATTTTACTATGTTTATCCATCACTCTTCAAACGTGCACATTCCTCCCATCAGAGCCATAAAAAAGCTGGCACAATGTGGAGGGAGTCAGGCCTTCAGTGGACCGACTTCCTGCCTGAGGATGTAGACATCAACAAGTTTGTTACAGAACAGGTGAGTTTTCTCATTAACCAATCAAGTCTATAACAAATGGCACATTTTTGACTCAGATTGAATCTGATTGTGCATAATTTGAAATTGAATGCATTGGTTTGAAAAAGAGTTTTACTTGAAACAGAATTTAATGATTTGAATCTGAATTAATTTGCTTTGAAACTATATTTTGGTTTATTATGACCGTGTTATACACATTATACATTATACAGTGGATTGCATCAACTCTGTTACATTACGGAAGGGAAACTTCACCAAAGTGAAACATAAATCTGTGGATCTGTGTTTGATTACTCTGCCTGGCTTTCCCAAGGACCAGGATGTGACACAAAAATCTGAATTATGGAACTGAAAGTGAAAGTAGTCAAACTGAATTTTTAAAAAACTAAAATACAGTTTCAAAGCAAATTAATTCAGATACAAAACTTTAAATTCAGTTTCAATTTAGTAAAATTATTTTTCAAACCAATGCATTCAATTTAAAATTCTGCACATTCAGATTCAATCTAATTCAAATTCATTTCCTGCTGGCACAAGATTTATCCCATAAGGATTGGTCGATAAGATTCTGACATTTCTAACATCATGAGTGCTTTATGTTTTAGATGTATAATCCTTTGAACATATAAACTGAACATTATAGTGTTAAAACAAAGCATAGTCTTACAGTGGACTTTTCATTGAGGGCTACAGATGTGTTTGAAAGAGCTGCTCTTGTGTTGGCAGAACGTTGAGTTCACTCTGGGCGACGAGTCTGAGAAGAGCAGGAAGGAGATGAGCTCTGCAGAGCTGACCAAGCAGCTGGACCGCTTGATCCAGGATAAGGCCAACAACCAGAGGGTCTTTGACTGGGTGGAGGTATGGATCTGGATGCATCTTTGTCTCACTTTATTTCAGAGGCCTTTCTTACAAGTTTCAGATTTAGGTTCTTTTATTTATTTATTTTCTTTGGGGGGGTTCCTTCAGTCCTGTGCAGGGATCTTTCTCCAGCTTTAGTTTTCTTAGTGGTGTAGTTAATTCAACGTATACAGACATTGACTCACTGCTTTTATTGGAGCCAAGGCTGATGTTTTTACTGGAAAGGATGAGAAATGTCATGTGACTGACAGCTGCAGACTGTGCTAAAGCAAACAGAAAAGTTGTTTCTGATCAGGCTCAAATGGAATTGTTTTCTCGTTGCTGTTTGTCATTAATATCACATTTTGGTTGACATGTAGATTTTTCTGTGTATAGGCCAACCTGGATGAGCAGCATACATCTTCCAACATGTTTGTCAGAGTGCTGATGACCTGCATCTGTCAGTCAGCAATCATCTGTGAGCAAATCTACACTTTGCTTCCCTGCTGTAAAAAGACAAGTAGATCAGTTCGAGCTCAGCACCTGAGTGTTTTATTTATTTATTTACTTACTTATTTATTTATTTTCTTCCAGGTGAGAACCCGTACAAGGTGGACGGAGAGCAGATCAAGCAGAGATCCAAGCTGCTGCAGAGATACCTGAAAGATGAGCAGAAGGAGCTGCAGGCTCTCTATGCCCTGCAGGCCCTCATGGTGCAGATGGAGCAGCCCGCCAGTAAGCTAAAGTTTGGTTTGGTGGTAGCTGAGAGTCGTTCACAGAGCTTAATCTGAGCATGGAATAAAAAAACGCATGAAAGGAATACTAAGGGTTCTTAACCTTTTTGATTTGTTGAACATAACACACAACATAAGATAAGACCCAGTTATTACCAATGTACAGATCAAAATATAATTATTCTAAATCTTGTTTAAATTTGTATTGTATTTGTATTATAACTGAATTAAATACACTTACAGTATAAAAGTAAGACTCCTGTCAAATAATCACAAGACATGATAATGACACACACTTTTTATATTGTAACCTGCCCATAATAATTATTTGAACAAGTACAACAGACCACTCATCAGCACAACTATATAT